ACTCCATTTCATTTTCAATGGCTTGATGTGACTGATAGTTTTAGAAAATCAGCTGCAGATCTAATTAAGTTGAGTAAAAATATATTTCTGCCTGGTTATGAGTTTGCTTACTATAGGGACTATTGTTGCATGGTAGTATGATTTTCTGTGTAATCAACGAAAATCAAAATATGCTTAATGAAAATCTTTTTCTGTAATGCGAATTTAACATGCTCATTCCTGCATCTTATGTTTTATCATGTAACCCAATTCTTATCTTGAAGCCACCCTGAGACCTAAACTGTCAGAATAGGTTTTACACAAACATGCAAATACATCATATCAGGTAGCTCACCTGAATCACAGTGGCTTCTCACACCTCCTTCAGCTCTTGGACAGAGATATGTGGGCTGCCCTTGGATCCAATCTGGAAGCTCCAGTTGATGTACAATGCTGCAGGTAGATGCTCAAGGGCAACTTTGAATCTAAGCCGATGATTAGCTAGTTATGTTGTATCACAGCTTTAATTATGCATTCCATCTTTGGTTTAATGAGCTAATCTTTTGTGTAGGGCCACAGTAGCCCCATTAAGGACTGCACAGGGGCCTCTTCTGGACTCGCATTCTAGCCAGAATTGTGCAGAGATGCTATTTATTATAACCTGAAGCTCCACCTCCAGGGTGACCACTAAAATGTGTGTGATCATTGCAGCTCTTTGTGACATTAATTAGTTGCTATCATCATCATCATTTTTAATTGGTATACCGTCTTTCTATCTTACAATACTCAGGGCGGTTTACAAGCTGTAGAAACAAAAATGGACATCTTATAACAATCTAATGCAACACAAAGGTGTGATAATAAAACATAACTTTAAAATAGGAAACCTACATCAAAAAAGTAACATTCAACAATCATCAGAATAGTATAAAATAATAATATCAACATATAAAAGTTAAACAGAAATCCACTCAACAGTTACAATAAATAATATCTAAAATATAATCAATAAAACAATGGCAAGCCACAGTACATAAAACAATACAATGCACATTGAGAAGCAGAGACTAGAGGGTAGAGCAAGGCAGGTGGAAAGAGGCCTTGCCTGAGTGGAAGACGTATGGCATCGAGAAAGTGGATAGAGAAAAGTTTCTCACAAGCTCTCATGGCACTGGAACTCATGGACATCTAATGCAGCAAAATGTTGGAAGATTTAGGGCAGATTAAAGAAAGTTCTTCCTCTTGCAGCACATAGTTAAACAATGGAACTTGTAATGGCCACCATCTTCAGTGGCTTTAAAAAAAGGATTGTGCAAATTCATGGAGGACAATGGATATGGCCATTAACCGTGGTGGCTACATTTTACCTCTACTATCAGAGACACTATGACTCTGAGTACCAGTTGCTGGGAATCCCAAGTGGGTATTGCTGTTGTGTTCATGTCCTGCTTGCAGGTTGCCCACAAGCGTCTGGTTGGCCACTGAGAGAACAGGATGTTGGACTAGATGGGCCCAAAGACCAGCTGCATCACATTATTTAAAAAGAAGATCTACCCTGATAAGAGCTCCAAGCTGGAAAAAACTCAGTTATTCCTGTTATAAATACAGTGGCACCTCGGGTTAAGTACTTAATTCGTTCCAGAGGTTCGTAACCTGAAACTGTTCTTAACCTGAAGCACCACTTTAGCTAATGGGGACTGCTCCTGCCACCGCGCCACCGGAGCATGATTTCTGTTGTTATCCTGAAGCAAAGTTCTTAACTTGAAGCACTATTTCTGGGTTAGCGGAGTCTGTAACCTGAAGCGTATGTAACCTGAAGCGTATGTAACCCGAGGTACCACTGTACAAATCTCAGTGTCATTGTAAAACATTTACTTATTCCTTTACTATACAGCACTTTAAAATTTCAAGTTCAAGAAGCTTGAATGGGTATGTGTTATGAGAGGTTCTTTTTACCTACACTTTTACCCTGCAGAGACACATTTTATCATTTCAGCATACTTGAACTATTGGTATTGGACAATTGGTTAACAGGAGGGTTCATAGTATAAATTAGAGTAACAGAACTGCTGGTATCATTTAAATTGAGGCTCTGCTTGGGTTTCTATTAAAATATTTTGCTTTGGGGGTTATTATTAAGTACTTAAGTTCCCCTGTGGCTATGTTGGTTTTCTCAAGACACATCTGTCTAATCTCCAATGTCTGTGTGCTACTGTATGAAATCAATGTGGAAATTATTTTTCACCTGAAGGTCAAAATCCCCCTTGTGACATCACAAGTGATAGATGTGGAGTTGATTAATGTCATGGGGTGCGAAGTATAGAGGGCTTCAAGGGGAGCAATATGCAGCAGGAACAAATGAACATTTATGAAATGATTGTGTTTTTCTCGGTGGCAAAGGACAAAAGTTCCAGGACATTTATGAACAAGATAGAATTATGAAGTTCCAGTGTTACATGCGTAGTCCATTGTTCTCGTCTCCTGCTTGTAAAGAGGCCACTACTACTGTGTGCGTGAAAGGATGCACACATTTACACACACGCATTCACATGGCATTGGTAATTGCATTGATTTCTTCCCTACTTTGATTCTTCACTTCTTGCTGATAACCATGTTAGTTCAAGGTAATATTTGGGGTTAGTTCAGATTCATTGACGCATCTGTTACTCCTGCCCACCACCCACCTCAATATATTGTGCTTGTCACTGTATCGTATAGTTATCCTGAAACAGCTTTTCTTGAGTGAGTTTATCAGAAATAAATTATCCATTCAAACATTTACATTCTGTAATATGCTATAATTTTTGTTCAGAATAATTGGATTTCAGGGAGTATATGTGTCATCTAAACTAGCTCCCAGCCCTGTCCCAAGGCAAGATTTTTCTGTTCCTAAAACATTTCTGGAATGTGCCAGCCCAGCATTTCCTTTTAAACTTAAAGCAGAGGTTCTACAATCTCTCTAGGCAAAATGATATGCTGAACTTCTTCATACAGTACATCACTTCATAAAAACCACCTGTAATATATAAGATAAGCATAGTATAGGATCTACCATAACATATTATGGCCTGTTCCTCATGTCCTATCCTCATTAGATAGGGAAGAAAGTTGCTTATATTCTATTCTCAGTGACAGTCTTTTAAACAACTCTCTGAATATGCTTCTCCAAAATAAGTTTTTCTGGCTTCCTCACACTAGCATGTCCCCTCATACTTTCCAGTTTGTCAACATCCTCCTTGAATTCTTGAGACTAGAGTGGAATTTATTTCAAATGAGCAAAGGGAACATTGCTACAGTTAGCCTTTCTTGTGTTTTTCCAGTAGCTGCCCAGGCTTATAAAATGTATATAGCTGACTCAAAGCTACTACAAATAGGCTTCTGGTGTCTTAGAAACCGCTAAAAGCAAGAGCTTTAGATGAAGAGCATAATAATATAATTGAAGTAGTATAACTGAAGTAGTATTTTTAGCCTCTACATATAGGCCCAGTGATCATTATCATGTGCACTGTATATATATTCATCCTTACAACAAAGAATTATTATTCACAGACGTGTTGTACTTAAAGTGCTAGTTTATGTCTGTTAATTATGAAGTAAGTCCCAGTAAATTATTCAAAAGTTGCTCTCGATTCTAAAACAGAACCCTGTGCCTCATTTACCAACAAATTCAGTATTGGGGTACATAAAACATTCAGCAAACAGTGACATTAGGGCATCTATCCTGCTGATGCCCCAAATTGTAAGGGAGCTAAACCGCTTGAGGAACCTTTAAAAGTAAAACACTTCCATGTGGGTTTGAGTATTTCTGTGGTCAGCTGAACTGTTAATTCTTTGGGTACCACCAAACGTATTTCAGAAGCTGATCTATCTATCATCTATCTATCTGTTTATGAAAAAGGCTTCTATTAGCAGAACTCCTGTTCATATTTGGTGATCTGTCAAGCCAGCCATTATCTGTCCAGTGTATTAGTAACTCTCTCTGCAGTCTTGGGCTTAATTCTCAGAAATGGCAAGTCCCCAGTCTAGGTCTAATTCTGAGAACTGGAAGATTGGTAAAGGTATATCTGGACTATGCAGCTTTAGGTTACAGGTGGGTGGACTACATGATTTATTGTTTCTCCATACACATAGAGAGCTGACCTTCAGTGAAGTAGGTGTCCTGGAATTGTTCTCCCTGATCTTTTTGTAACAGGGAATATTAAATTATGTGAACCCTCCCTCTTGCAATATTGCCAGAAGCAATAAAGTCCAGAAACAAGTACAGTGGTACCTCTGGTTACATACGATTCAGGTTACATATGCTTCAGGTTACAGACTCTGCTAACCCAGAAATAATACCTCGGTTTAAGAACTTTGCTTCAGGATGAGCACAGAAATCGTGCGGCTGCGGCGCCGCAGCAGTGGGAGGCCCCATTAGCTAAAGTTGTGCTTCAGGTTAAGAACAGTTTCAGGTTAAGAACGGACCTCCGGAATGAATTAAATACGTAACCAGAGGTACCACTGCACAGGCATACCTCGGAAATATTGTGGATTCAGTTCCAGACCACCACAGTAAAGTGAATATTGCAATAAAGTGAATATTGCAATAAAGCAAGTCATACAATTTTTTTTTGTTTCCCCATGCATATAAAAGTTTTGTTTGCACAATACTGTAGTCTATTAAGTGTGCAATAGCATTTTGGTTTTTTAAAAAATGTGCATACCTTAATTAAAAAATACTTTATTGCTTAAAAAAAAGTGCTAATCATTACCTGAGCCTTCAGCAAATTGTATACGTTTTGCTAACGTTGATGGCTGCTGACTGATCAGGGCGTGGCTGCTGAAGGCTTGGGATGGCTGTGGCAAATCCTTAAAATAAGCCAGCAATGACGTTTGCTGCATCGATTGACACTTCCTTTCACAAAATATTTCTCTGTAGCATGTAAGGCTGTTTGAGGCTGTCAGTCCTCTCAAACCCTGCTGCTACTTTATCAACTAAGTTTATGTAATATTCTAAATCCTTTGTTGTCATTTCAACAATGTTCACAGCATCTTCACCAGGCGTAGGTTCTATCTCAAAAAACTGCTTTCTTTGCTCATCCGAAAGAAGTAACTCCTCATTCAATTAAAATTTTATCATGAAACTGCTGCAGTTCATTCACATTTTCAGGTTCCATTTCTAATTATAATTATCTTGCTATTTTCACCACACCTGCAGTTACTTCCTTCACTGAAGTCTTGAACCACTTAACCCTCATCTAGGAGGGTTGGAATCAAATTCTTCCAAACTCCTGTTAATCTTGATATTTTGACCTCCTCCCATGAATCACAAAAGTTCTTAATGGCATCTAGAATGGTGAATCCTTTCCAGAAGGTTTTCAATCCAGCATGAGGCATTATTATTCAATTTACTTCACCCAGCACCTACCAGAGGAATCACTATCCATGGCAGCTATAGCCTTATAAAATGCATTTCTTAAGTAATAAGTCTTGAAAGTTGAAATTACTCCTTGATCCATGGGCTGCAGAATGGATGTTGTGTTAGCAGGCATGAAAACAACATTAATCTCCTTGTACATCTCCATCAGAGCTCTTGGGTGACCAGGTGCATTGTCAATGAGCAGTAATATTTTGAGCAGCAGGTACCAACAGTGGGCTTAAAATATTCAGTAAACCATGCTGTAAACAGATGTGCTGTCATCCAGGCTTTGTTGTTCCATTTATAGAGCACAGGCAGAGTAGATTTAGCATAATTCTTAAGGGCCCTAGGATTTTCAGAATGGTAAATGAGCAGCGGTGATAGCCCTTATCGTACAGATATGACCTAAACCATGCCAGAGTTTGAAGCTCAATTATAAAGTTGCCTGCATTTATATTACATAGATGACACATGGTACTCATGGTAAAAGGCTGTGTGTGTGAAATATTAATTTATTTGTTTATCAGGATACAGGGCAAGTTACTGGTACAAATGCAGAATTTAAAATTTTGTAATTTTGTTGATGACATCTCAGTAACCTGTTAATTCAAAATATAACCACAAAGCACACTGATTTACGTCTAAAACTACAGTGTTGGTGCCAGCCTAACCTGCAAAGAGAGTGCATTCAACAGCCAGGATGCTATTGCTGAGAAGGCTCTCCCCAAATTCCATTGAATTCTGTATTTGAACACCTGAATTCCCACAAGAGATTGGACATGAAAATGGCAGCTGTTTTGTATAGTGTTTGCTGTTGCTTATGTCTCTGGAATTTGATGGGGGGGGGTCCCAAATAAACAAACATAATTGCACAGCAGGGACTCACAGTTTTTGAAATCATGTGGCTTAAGTTGGTTATATTTAAATCTATCTGTTAAATCATTGTAAAACCTACGTAGAGAAGAAAGTGACATCTGATGTTCTGCATTTTATTAATCAAACACATCACAAACAGTGTGAAATGTGTCAAACATGCTTTTCAGTGTCATATGAAAAGAGGCATACTCTTGTTGTAGCCTTTGTTGTTGTGTCCTGGTCTATTTTGAATTTCTGGTATTTTGGGGGGAGGACGCAGAGGCGGCTGGAGAATAGGAGACTATATGGGGAAACAAGTAAAATAAAAAAAATGTTGTACTAACAATGTTACCTTTTGCTTACAATGTATAGGTGTATGCAATCCTAGCTTCCATTAACATGTTGAGTGTGAGGAATTCACATGCTTTTGCTCGTCTGCAATGAAGCACATATATTCTGAGTTTACTGCATATATATGTGCACACAGATACATTTATGTGCTTGCACACATGTGCCCTCACACAGTCACTCACATCCACATTCTTCCTCTTAAGCTGCAAAGGGCTATTGACCTTCCAATGGGATTGTTCTGACAGTCAGAAGCATTGTAGAGATTAGGTATTACTTGGGTTACAGTGGCTTTGAAAGCTGCTGAGCAGAGATAGAAGAGGTCCAGCACATCCTAACAGTGTTAGGTAAATTTGCTGATCAGTACAGAGCATCTATCGGCAAAGAGCCCTGCACTCTGCTCCACAACGAGGCACTGACCCAGCTTCATCCTCCTATGAGAACTAGTAAAGGGTTTGTTTTTTCTCGTCTACTGTTGTTCTTCCGTATTCACTGCAAAGGGAAACTATGACACAGCTCCACCTGGATGTTTGATTCTTTTATTTTTCATGGCCTGTGGAACAATGAAGTCAGAGGTAAGTGAATGATGCAGTGCAGGAAGTTACTGCAGCAGTAGCATTTGCTAGGGATATAATTTAAAGAACCAGCATAGAAGAGAAATCTTGTTAGAATTCTGTTTGTTTTGCATGCATTGGACAGAAGCAGAATAATAGCTGCTTTCTATATTTTAACATCTCCCTCCCCCCCCCCCAACCCGGCCGGCGAATGTCCTTCTGTTGTGATCAGCATAGCACTGGAGAAAACAGACTTCATTTTTTTTTCCTGAAGGGAAGAGAAAGCTGTATTTTCTAGAGCACTGTACTTCTCAGCAATACAGATTAACAGGATTTTACAGCTTGTTTCACTATGTTGTAATAAGCTCCTTTCTAGAAATAAACATGCCTGTCGTTGCAGCTGGTGCAGTTTATTTAGATTGCTCCCATTGATTGTGAGCTCATGTTCATGCTTCTTATTTGCATTTAGTCAATTAAGTATATATGCTCATTCTGAGTCACTTCTGGTGAGTTTCCTTTTACTTGGTTGATTTAAAAGACGTAGGATAATTTATATTTCTTCCCAAACTATATTTATTCTTAAACCCCAACCAATTAATATGAGAAAGCAAAACACTTTTATTTTCTAAAATATTATACCTGCCCATTTTCCAGGAGGAGGTTCTTTTCTAGGTCATGATCCTGCTTTTTCTGTAAATGGATTCGCTTTATCCCCAAGTCATGTTGGTAGAAGAGGAAGCACCCCCTTATAACATAGTTTTCAAGTGCATTGCAGCTACTGATTAAAATGTAGAGAGAGAGAGAGAGAGAGAGAGAGAGAGAGAGAGCGCTATGTGATGTATTAGAGGCTATATGTGAGGCAGGAAGGTAATAATTATACATTATTTTTTTTAAAAAATTAATGCTATAAATCAAGTTTGCATTTATATGAGTGTAAGTTGAGGTGCCTTGCTAGTGTCTAAACTACGTCTTTGATATGGGTTACTATGCTGTATTAATACATATATAATTTTCTAGTAAAACTAAACATTTAATGCTTGGTTAGAGTGTATACATGGAATTCATCCTCCCACCCCCACCCCAACTGCTGTTTTTCACAGTATAGCAAAACAGAATGTAAGACAGCTGCTTGTTAAATTAATTGAGAAGTCATTGAGATAATGTATGAAAATTATCAAGACAAGAGAAAACCATATTAATGCCTGGGTTTTATTTTTCACAGCTTTTTAATACTTTAAGGCTACAATCTGACAAACATTTACTAGGGAGTAGTCCCATTTAGCACATTGGGATATTTCCAAGTAAACAAGCTTTGGATTGCACTGTAAGTATAACAAAAATTGAAAACGTAAAAATTGAAAGGGTGACTGTGTTTAAAGGTTCTGACACAACCTTAGTTAAAATTCATGACCAGGTAAAAGTTTTATGAGAAACTCCGTAAACAGGGTGAAATATGGCCTGTGTTGTCATAAGACTCTCTAACAAAAATGTCAAATATTTATTAGCTACAACATGATTTTAGTGAATTGGGAAATGTAAAGTCTATTCCTACCTGGTATTCTATTTCAGACTTTTCAACTAATTAAGTGTATCTTGTTTAAAATTTTCTTCAGATTGTATAATACTGCTATTTCCCCTGAGCTCTTGGAATGATATATGTGTACATACAGCAAACAGGAGAAAGGTGGTGGAAGAATATTGTTTAAAGAGTTAAAAGTTTATCTTTTCAGAAGTTCATGGAGAGACAGTAACGTGCACTGCTACTCTTCCACATTTTTCTCTTTGAATTGTCTGTGCTATAAAAGATCCCAAATAGTCTTTTTTCCTTTTCTCTTTTTTTGACATTTCTGTCTTTCTCATTTAGTTCAGTGTGTTGCATATTACCCATCATTGAACAGGTTGGTCTTTATGAAATATTAAGCAGTCATTTATCTCAGGAAGTCAACAGTCTGTGTTCATGGGGTTGGCAAGCAATTAAACTGTTTAGGGTATTTTCCTCTCTTTCATAAAGCATTTTACCATAAAACCACAACGTATTATATAGTTTGCATACACCTAGCAGTATGTATGTGTTTATGGATTTGTGGGGGGGGGGGGAGTATTCACAGTGATAGCCACTAAAATAAGAAGAGTTCTATGTTTTAAATTGGTAGCAATTTGCCATTGCAATGCATGTGAACTTATTTATTGAATTTTAAGTCACCCTTGATTCATAGAATGATTTATAGAATACCAGGGTAGTGTGCAAGATATATAAAAACAATCCAACAATATTGCATCACAAACTTACAATGAAATCTCTATAAAAATTGTTTTTAAAAATACAGGACATCTGTAGCAGTCATAAAATACTGATTCTAAAATTTAAGCTCCACCCCCCCAAAAAACCTGCCTGGATATTTATTAATAGTGTAATACTCTTGTTGACTTTAGCAGCTTCACTCAACTCTTTATAACACTGTATGTAGCTACCCAGAGGGCCTTTGGAGCTGCCTTTGCAATACAGTAGCACAATGCAGATGCTAATCAAAACTTGCTCTAGAGTTTTTGTGCCCATTTGGAAGATGGAATGGGAATTTACAAAGTTCTTCTCCAATAATTGAAAGGACACGTGGGAATTCAACTTGAGAAAGTAGTTATGTTTTATTACTTTTGAAGTTATGCCTTTTTGCTAAAAAAAACTCTTGTAAAGGCTGAATATCTCCCCAAGCTGAAAAGTCACAAACTAATAAAATCTTTAATATCCATATGTTCAGCTTTGGATTTGAATAAATACTTTTAATACCGCAGAAAAGCTAACTGTGTACTGGCAAAACAAGTGTCTATACTTGAATGTGTTGGTCCAGACAGCACACATAGTATGTAAATTTTTAGACACACCTTTATTTTAATAAAATGTAGTTGAAGAGTAGGATAAAGCACAGGGGAGCTT